CTACATATTCTGTGTAGGCGGCGCTTTTTCCTGCCTCAAATGCCGCAGAAGCCTCAGAATCGGCTTTTTCCTTGGCCGCCTTGAGCTCCTCTAACTAAACCTTCACCTCGGTAAGCGCCTCATTGGCTAACTTGAGCGATTCTTTGCTTGCATTTGCCCTACTCTCAGCGTCAGAGCGGAGCTGTTCAGCTGAGCGAGCCCTCTCCTCCTATGCTTCAGCTCGCGCACTCTCCATTGCAGCTCTCATCACTTCGAACTCGGCCCTACTCTTTTGACCGTCCGCCTCCGTTTGCAAACGATTAATCCTACCAAGGGCATCATGCAGGCAGCGGCCTAGGTCCGCGATCCTGCCAACTGTCTGCAAAACAAGTTCGGATCGTCAGACACCTTAATGAAAACAAATTCAAGAGAATTGAGATGGTCACTTACCAGGAGCACCGATTGCGCAAATAGGGCTACGGCCATAACATCCGGCACGGCGCGAAAGGCTGCGATGTCAGCTGGCAAGGAAATTGAAGCCGCCAGGCTCAACGCCACAGCTAGATCCTCAATGGCTAAAGCGTCAGAAGAGATCGGCGTATCTTTGATCTTTGGCCGAACAATAAAAGGAGCAACCACGTCTAACTCTTCTAAACGAGGCCGTTTGGAAGCAGGGCTAATCTCCGACCCAACCTCTCCCTCGCCACTATGCTTTTTGCCCCGCTCCTCCAAAATCAGACGTTCGTCAATGACCTGTTCAACCTCTTTCCCCGCTTCGGCCGCAGCAACCTGAGCCGTCTCTTCAATAACAGGTACGAAAGTTTTAATCAAGGTGGGCTTAGAATGGGCGGCCTCGGCCTTCTTTTGAGCAGTCATTCGCTCGACATTTTTCTTTTGCGCCATCTGTGTAAGGCTTTTCCCAGCCATACCTTCAGAAAAATCACCGGGTAGGCCTCCCAAATTGGCAAAAATATCTCCAGAAGAAAACTCGGCCCGACCCAAAGTGGACAGTGAAGGCTGGTTAAGTCCGGCAGCCTCGAACGCCGAGCATATCGCCTCGTTGACCTCTTCGGCCTCCTCAGCGACCTCTCTGGTTGGTTCGGCAACTACCTCTACCACCAGCTCCGCGTCTTCCCCCGAATCTGAATCTTCGAGGGCAATTTGCCTAAGGCTCTTGAAGTTGGGAAAGAGAAGAGCCGAAAGGTGTTGATCGCCGGATGGAATTGGAATGCTGTCTGCGGCCGAGAATGTAGTATAAGTAGGTTCGTATCGGAGGAGTATGTGAGCAGCTCTCCCTTGCTTTTGTACGTTTGGATAGCCGAAGTATCTGAGTGCAGACTTAATTTCCTCAAGGATTGTGTCATCGGTTGAGGGAAGAATCTTCTTCAATCTGTTACCTACAAAGAACAAGGGGTGATTAAAGGCAAAAGCCGAATAAAAGGTAGATCAACAAACACGAGGTGTTACATGGCAACCTGGATCACCCTTTCGTCTGGGGATAGGGTCTAGGCGGTCTTCGCCTTCACCGAACTCCCAATTACCTCGGACATTGACCATTACGTCGTCAACTCTCTTACCAAAACTAGCAAGCATGGTTATCAAGTGATGATCAGTGTCCTTGGCCCAGAGAAAGTATCGCCCCAGCCGACCGAAAGATTTGGCCAAAGCGTAGCAGTGCCGAATCGCCGGAATGCCAAGGTTGATCCTAAGGCGTCGGTTCAACTCAATCACCCCCATGATGATTCGAAAGAAATTTACGTTGGGTTGAGAAGGAATCAGACTCCAATAGCGAAGGACGGTCCTAAGCAATGGATGTAGGGGAAAACGGACTCCGCCTTCCACTATGGATAAGAGAGGGAAGACGATCGTATTTTGATCCTCCCTCTCCATATCAAGAGTACTGTCTGTTACAAGAGATAAGTGGACATCGTCAGGAATGGAAAAGTGTCGCCAAAATCCGAAAATACGACCCTCAGAAAGGAGGTCTTTCAAGTGTTTAGCCATTTTCGCGGGGATTCAAGGTTCCGCCGAAATCAAAATGACAAACAGAAAATGGGGTTACAAAGAAGAGAGAAGAAGACTTACGAGTAGACGGAGCAAGGATAGACGGAGAAGAGTTGCAGAAAATGTGAGTCAGAGAAGGGTTGCCCGCTGGCGGTCCAAGAGTCTTGAATACTCGACAAAATGTGCACTCGAAAAGACTGAAATTTCAAATCGCAATAAATGCGAGACGCACGAATAAGGCAGGAAAGTGTAATGATGACCAAAAAGGTGTGCGCGTTCTGACATCTGTATTAGGGCACGCGAAGCCGCCTGACCTATTTTGACTTTTTCAATTCAAGACCAAACACGCCGATTGACTACCGTCAATGGGGAGTTCGGGGGGCAATTGTGGGAGCCGAATAATGGCAAAATCAAAAGGTGCATACCTTAGAAGACTGATATTAATCGGCTGTATCCTACGAGAATGGGAAACCGAATACAATACATGTGCCGAATAAGTGTAGATCCTTAGAGCCGAATAAGAGAAAGGACAATGATTAAAAAGTAAGCCCTAGTCCCGAGGATCAAAAGGAACAGGTGTAAATACAGGAACAATGGATTGAGAAAGGTATGTAAGAATCACTTAACTTAACTTAGTAAAGAAGCTATCCTGAGTGTCTGAACTAACTTGCTCGTCGGAGTGCTAATTCCGCCACCCCCGACCGGAATGTTTGTATCTTTTCAGGTGACTAGCTGAGAATCACTAACGTCTCCCAAGATCTGAAGAGTATTTCCAAACCATATCCCCACAATTAGAAAGTCTGCACATTTATATAGTTGTAAATGAAATTTGCACTTATAGTTCAATAGGTATAAAGGACACATGAATATATTTGAATTGGATGTATTTAGATTTGGTAATTACAAAAAGAAAAAAAGCAAAAAAAGTTGTATAGGAATTTATATAAAAAAAATTGTGACATTTATAATAGAATATATAGAATAAATATTTTTTTATTACAATTTTATTTTGTCATAAAATTTTAATCATATTCCTATTCTTACCTTTCCAAATCGCAACTCCTCAACCCCTCCAGCTATGTTTTGTATATCTCCATTTTCTCATATTCTATAAATTTTAATTGAGCTCATTTCCACATTTTTTATTCTTGTGGGAGAGAGAAATTTAGGGAGGATTGTGGATGGAGGAAAGCAATTTGATTTAGAAGGTGGCTCTTTGAAATGATGTGCGCATTTGACTTACATATTTATCTTTTCTTGAATTAAACGGTTACATCAATTTACATATTTTTCCTTCTTTTCAATTAAAACTGTCACATAAATTAGAGAAATAACCAACATTTTGTTTTGGAAAATTTTAGTTTAAAAAAAAAATTTGTCATAGAGATTTAAAAGAATTTATACAGAAGAATTGTAGGAAAGAAAGGGTGATGGCCTCAAATTGAAAGTGGTAATATTTTTTTTATTTTTTTTTAACAAAGTAAGATATCAGAAATCGGGTCTTAGTGTTGCGTAATAACAATTTCAACATTAACTGATATTTTACTTAACAAAAATCTTTTTTGTATTTTGCCTGATCAATTTGCATAGTGTGTATTTTAACAATACTTTTTATTTTTGAAATTAATTTGTCTAACCTCTAAATCTGAAAAAGCTAAGAGAGGATGGGACAAAATGCTGATTATGTTACCAATCCTGTTAGAGTTCCATTTTGTGACAAAACTAAACAAAATGTTTAAAAATACTCTGAATGCCTCTTCATATTGAAGATACTCTAATATCTCTTTTTCTTTCTTGTTAAAAGTGCATTCAAATTTAACTCATTACATAAACAAAGTTAAACTTGAACGTATTTTAAAACTTATTAAAATTTTAATTTAAACTTATACAACCTATTATTTGTAGGCCTTACTTACCGATAATTCAAAAATGATAATAAAAATGAACTGCATACATTTTATTCAAGATATCAATATATAGACCTCGTTTGACAAGTGATTTTTTAGTTAAAAAATTAAAAAGTTACTAAAAAAATTTAAAAGTCAACAATTTATATTAAAAAGTTAAAATATTACTTTTCTCTCTACTTTTTGTATATCTTTTCGTAAAAAATTAAAAAATCATCTCAAACATACTAATTTTTTTTACATCATATTTTAACTGAAAAACTAAAAAATTACTAAAAAAACTTATTCCCAAACGAGGCTATAGTTCAAAGTAATCTCCACCACATTTCATCATTTATGATAATTTTCGTAACAAATTTTCATGATAAATAGAAAAATGGAAAAAAACAAATGAAAAGTGAAGAATGAAAACAAGGGCAATAGAGTAAAAATGAAGTCTCCATTTGATTTAGTTTTAAAATTAAGTTTTGAGTGTGAAATTATGTTTTAAAAGATAAATTTTAAAAAGTGAAAATTTGTTTAGGCCAAGTTTGGGAACACTAAAAAAGTGTATTTTTGTCTTTTTAGACTAAAAAATTGAGGTTGAAAATATGGATATTTGGGTTAACTTTTTGACTTTTTATTGAAAAATGTGTAATAAAAAATTGTAAAAATTAATTTGTAGAGAAAAATTTGAATTGGGAGTTGTGCAGCCGTAATTGTTAACTTTTGATGAATAGTGTTAACTTTTTAACTTTTTGAGTAATTTTTTGACTTTTTGACTTTTTTTTAAAGTTTCCAAACTTTGCCTTAGTTATAATTTTAAAATAGAGTTTTAAAAAAAATCCTGTTAGAATTTTGTTTTTAAAAGAAAAAATTAAATTGGTGGGCGGTAGTAGTGGTGGTGGGACCCTCATCCAAAAAAATTACTGACGTTTTGGCCCTCATTCTTAAATTGTTCTTTCTCAAACTCACAACCCCCACCCCCACATCATTATTACGAAAACGCCGAATCCGTTTCCTCCATCACCACCACTACCAAATTGTTTTTTCTCTCTCTCTCTCTCGCTATTGCTTGTATGACGTATATATAACAGTGTGCTGTGCGATTTGCAGGATCTGCTACTATACTTTGCCTTGATCCTGACTCAATCCATCGTCTTTTGAGGTATATATATGTTGTTGAAGATATTGATTTTCTGTTCGTTTATGGACTTTTTTTTTTTTTTTTTTTTTTTTTTTGGGTGATATGTTTAGGATTGCTGGATTGGGAATGGGAGTCTTCCTACTTCTAGCTCTTACAATCGGTGTGCCAAAGGTTGATTCTTGGGATGTAGTTTTGGTTGTAAAACAAAAGTCAAAATTTCATTTTTTGTGTATTTAAGAATCTGATGCATCTATCTGCTCTTCTTTTCTTTTCTTCTCTACTCTTTTTGTTTACCATTCAATTTTTTTTGAAGCAATGCATGTTTTCCTTGAATGATGCAACTTTTTATTTGAAATTTTGTATGGGGTTTCTGAATTGGTGGAAAAGTATTTCATTTTATTTATTGCCTTTTGACTTGTATGAATTTGGCAATAGCGTCCAAAGAAACCTAAACACTAAATGAATTTAGCAGACACAAAGCTAAATGATAGCACCCAATTTTTTCAGATTTGGCGGTTTGATCTATGATTTTACATTCATGGACGGTGACAAGATCCTTCCATTTAGCAGCACCTTAGGATGGCATAGCCTTAAAGTGAATGACATATCAAAAATGTTAGATTAGATGAAGTGTTGAAAATGTTAAGGCTAGGAAAAATAAGAGAACCCTCCTAATCCTAATCTATGTTCTTTTTTGGGGTGCACCTCCTAATCTATACCTGAATATATAAATGAACACTAGTTTGGTGATACCCTGTTTGTTAAGGTGTCACGTGATTTTTCTCTCAAAAAAGTCCTTAAGAAAACAAAAAATTCGTAACTTGTTCTACTGCTTGCTGTCCATCATGTGAAGGGCGATAGTCGAATATGTGGTTACTTTAGAAGAATCAAAGTTATGTTGGAACATCGCTTATTTTAAGGACTTTTTACTCTCATGTGCCACTACATGAGTGCCAACCCTCTAGCCTGAATAACACATTTAGACACATTCCCATAAGACCAGAAAGATATTGATGGGTTTGAATGTATCAACTTTGAGGAATAAATCCTTCAAAAGAATTTGAGTTCTCAAATTTGAACTCAAGGGATATTTCTTAGAAGTGGTGTGAAGGTGAGCAGCCATGATGAGCTTTGTATCCCTTTGGGTCTCAATTGTGAAACTGCAGGGGATTGTAGGTGATTCTATTGGATCTGGTGTTATACAAGCATTTTTATCTGAGATACATCACCAGCTCATGATATATCAGAATTTGACTTCTCAACTTTTACAGGTGGATTTTTGCAGTTCATTCTATTTGGATTTTTCAGGAACAGTAGGAACTGCTGTCAATTTAATTTGATTATTGGAAAATGTTGGGAGGCAACAATAACAACAATACTGTGCTTCCCATTTTCCTTGACGAGAATCATTTGCAGTATCAAGCTAATGCTTCAAATCAACTACAGTTATTTGGAAATTGTGAGTTCCCTTTTCTTTCCGTTGGTATATCAGAATCACAAATTTGGCAGTTTTCTTCTGTGTATGTGTATTTGTCCTCTTGTGGTATTGGATATGAATGTGTATTTGATTGGCCTTTTAACTTGTTGGGTGTATATTCTGCATTTGTATGTAACCTAAGGATGTGTATTTGGTTGGCCTTCTATCTATTTTGGAATTTGCTTTTCTGTTCTGCAAGATGGTATTTTGTTCCTGTTGGTTCTTATTTATAGAAACTTGCTATGCTTGGATCATTTGAAGGTTGCTATCCTTCCTACGCGAACTACACGAATGATGATTGTCACACTTTGCAACCAGTGGTTGAATGCTGAAATAGTGAAATTTACTACTCTATTGGCCTCTGTTAGTAGAAAAGAAATGATGCATTATACAATGCTTGCCTTTTGACTTAGAAAGTCTTTAGGCAGGCCATTGTATTGGAAAATATGCACAAAGCGTGACCTGGTCAGACGTTGGGTTTATTCCTACATCTTTAGGGTTTTGGACTATGTTTTGTAACTATAGTTTCCAATTCCCTTCGTTCTAAAATCATGATATTACTTTGTTCAATCTTGTTGGCTTACTCATAGGTGGACTGAATCTTTTATGTACCACTCTGCAATTTTTTGTTGCAATACCAGTTGGATGTAATGTTGATCCAGTAAATTATTTTGGAAATGAGCACAACCCCCATATGCTTTGGCCTAACAAACGAAGCAGGGAAGCAGAAAATATGTCAAGGCACCAGAAGCTTCAGATTTCCCTGAATTACAGTGTGTGTCATGATGAAGCTGATCTATCAGCAAGCATACCAAACCAAAACCCTGTATCAACAGGGCTAAGGCTGTCATATGATGACGATGAACGCAACTCCTCTGTTACTTCTGCGAGTGGAAGTATGACGGCAGCACAACCAATCATTTTGTCTCTTGGTGACAACATTAGGATTGAACTTGATCAGCAGAAAGAAGAACTCAATCAGTATATTAAGATTCAGGTATATTGGCTACTGCCCTCTTATATTAAGATTAGCACATTGTGTTAAAGTTCCTTCACATTAACACATGCTGAATCACAGATTGTGGTTTTTGTGTGGCTCTCTATTTTAACCTGTATTTCTTACTAACAGGAAGAAAATCTGGTGAAGGGGGTAAGGGACATGAAGCAGAGACACGTGGCATCTGTCTTGACGACCATAGAGAAAGGTGTGAATCTGAAGTTACGAGAGAAAGATGTTGAGATAGATAATATAAACCAGAAGAACATAGAACTAGTTGAGAGAATAAGGCAGGTGGCAACGGAAGCCCAGAACTGGCATTACAGAGCCAAGTACAATGAGTCGGTGGTTAACATTCTAAAAAACAACCTCCAGCTGGCAATTTCACAGGGTGCCGACCAAGGAAAGGAAGGATATGGCGACAGTGAAGTTGACGACACTGCCTCCTATATTGACCAAAGCAACTACCTCGTCATCATTCCAAGTGGGCCCGGGAAGGCTGCTTCTTCCTTGAAGTACAACATGATTTGCAGAGCATGCAAGTCTAAAGGGGTAACAATCTTGTTGATGCCTTGTAGGCACTTGTGTTTGTGTAGGGATTGTGATGGGTTAATCAGTGTTTGCCCCATATGCCAGTTGGTGAAAACTGCTAGTGTCCCTGTGTACTTGTCCTAAATTAGTGTGATTAAATAACTTAAAAATTGAAAATATACTCAGAAATCTTCATTTTATTGAAATTAGTATTTCTCTCTATAAATTTATGGATTGAATGTAGCTGACTTGTTTAGTTCATAAATGAGTTCAATCTGAGATAGCTGTATGAGATTGTTATTTTGTTCAATATTCGGTTTAATCATGAACTTCTGGTCATACAAGATGTCAAGGAAGTTTGGAGGCATCTCTGATTGAATCAAATCGAAACCACAAAGCCTATGTTAGCAAATCTAACATGGGCCAATGAATTAGGCCTTGTCCTCCCCTGACCCACAAAAATACAAAAGAAAGAAAAAGCACAATTATGAATGGCCCGAGTATGGACTGGCGAGGTCTAGTCCAATCTGTGTATCTTATTACGGGTTTTTCTCTGATGATTAGAATCGTCTATTTTGAACTTTCTCTGTGTAAATTATACATAAAATTTTAAATTGATCCACTAATTGGTCAAAAAAGTAGAAATAATGATGAATAAATCACAAAATACTATTAATTAAACACATGATGTAGTTGTTCTGACTCGTGATAATTTCTGCTCGAGGGAGGGCCATAATAACATGCATTATATATATAGACAAAGTTACATGAAAGAAAGTAAAAAGCTACATATCAACAAAAAGAACCTCATATCATGTCCTCTCCAAAACAATAATGTTTGGCCAAAAAATAATTACTTTGGGGGGGCCCAAAAAAATCCGTGAAGGTGAATGATGGGTTGCCTTTTTGTTGTCTATGAATTTGAGAAGTTATTTGATAAGTTCGGTCCATTATGTAGTCATATATCCACTTAATAAATATAAAACATATTACCATGTTATTTAAAAAATAAGAAATAAGGTGAAGAATCTCTTTGCTATTAAAAAGGTACACCATGTGTACTCTAAGTTAGAATTACTAAATAATTTCTTCATGTATTCGAGAAGTTATCTAGTACATTTGATCTATTATATCACCATGTCCACTTAATAATAGGAGATACACTATTATCTTACCTTAAAATAAAAGATAAAGTGATCGTGTGTCTCCTTATTATTAAAAGAATAAAGATTAAGAGATTTAATTTTGAAATTCTAAGTAGAGCTCTAATGATGTGGCAAGAAGTAGAGCCCACATGTGATGTGATGTGATGTGTGTACCTATATTTTTTTTTTTTTCTCTTGCTACATCATTAAAACTCTCTTTAAAACTCCAAAATTAGAATTTTCTATCGTTGTTGTTATCAAAAAGACACCTGGCATATAATACAAGTCAAACCTATTAAATAATTTGTTTGATCTCATAATATATATAGATATATAAACAAATAGGTGGTGACAAACCATTTGTTATCAAATATTTAAAAAGATCATAGAGATCATACACAATAACAAACCAAGCCCTTCTCAACTGAAGTTTCACATGCCCAACAACCACCACCACAAAAACATTAACACCACAATCAGTAAAATTCTGCTTTGGTAGCTTAAGATAGTACACTATTGTCGTTTATGTGAACAATAGTAAAATTGTTTTCAGCTTCAAGTTTTAGAATATGATTAGGTGAACCCCTTTTTTAAAGGTGCCCTAAATTAGGTGATTATTATTTCTTGCTCTGTTCAAATGTTTCAGGTTTCTAATGAAAATTGGTTGGTAATGGGTTGATAGATGGTGGTTATACCAAACCACCCCCCCCCCCAAAAAAAAAAAAAAAAATAAATAAAAAAAAATAAAAAAAAAGACAAAGTGTCAAAAGGAGAAAGTACACAACTCATCAACACATTTTCCTTCGAGTTCATAATTTCTCACCATTTATTGATGTGGGCATTAGAGAGATTTTAACCAATACCACACTGATGTCAAATTTCGTTTTCCTTGCAATTTTATCTGTTTTGTTCGCTACCACGCTAGAAAACATATCAATCAATAAAGTATTTTATTGTTTCATTGTGAAGTTAAAAAGTAAAATTAACCCATGATGAGGTTATAAATTATAGATATGACAAGAAGGGAAAAAAAATTGAAATAAAATGTTGAAATTAATAGGTTAGAATTGTAGAAAGGAAGAAGATAAGTCACTTTCTATTATATAAGTAAACTCTAGCACTTCCATAGTGTAAAGGGATCTTCTGAATAGCTACAATATGTTCAATGTTGGTATGGAGACTTTGCTTCTCATTCATCAAACAACCCCTCTATTGGAACTATGCTTCCAAGGGAGAACTATATTCTTAAAAAGGTGGGAGAAAAAATATATAAAAAAAAAAACAGCAACAACAACTGATCAGTCCTATTCATTGTCAAGAATATTGTATAAGAAAATGTTTCATGAGAAAAATAGATCAAAGAAAATAGAAATGATTTGCATTCTCATTAATTGTTCAATTTTAAACTTTCCCGCAATAATAATTTTGAAATTTTGACAAACATTAGTAAGAGGAAAAATATTTCTTTCAAAAAAAAAGTTACAGTGAATCTATATTTTTCTCCAACAATTGAACAAGATTGATACACCATCTAACTTTTATTAAAAAAATTAAATCATATTGTTGTAAGTATTAAAACAAAATATTAAACACTTTTCTTTTAGCATAACGTTAGCATCAAAAAAGAGCCTTAATCATCTATGTGCTTTAAGGTTCACGAGAGGACTCAAAGTTCACGAGCATGTTGCACAAAACGACGGCATAGAAGGTCGTATTCAATCTCTTCTTCCTGTCCTTTTTGTCCTTTTTTTTTTTTTAGATTTAATTCATATAAAAATTCAATGAATTACAATCATGATAGTGAAAATCAAATATAATATAAACTTTTTACACAGGAGAACCCACACGCATGTAGGAAGATTTGAACTAGGAGTTCTGGTCAATCAAACTAACCTCATTTGGCTCAATCTCTTCTTTCAAAATGTCTAGTTATCATTTTGATGGGTGGTTTACAAAGTATACCTCACAACCCAAAAAGCAACACATAAAGTAGTGACATCCTTGTAATATAACAAATTGTATAATGAATGTGAATAATGTAAATATAGAATACAGCCATTATATCGTACGTAGTGCCATCAATCAATAAAATAACCATAAATCTAAAATTATTTCTAGTTTATTTATATAGTAGATTGGACCGGTTTATTTTGTAATAATAGGTTTAGGAGTAGATAAGATAAACCAAATCGAGCTTGCAAGGTTAGACAACACGTATATGGGACACGATTCACAAGGGGACCGAGCAGGGCGAGTTTTGACCCGACCCATTTGGCAATTCATATGTTTTTTAAGCCAAGTTTGAGCTTCACACCTGTGGAATAAATCACATAAAGGCTGCAATGCTTATTCAGCATAGTGGGCACCCAGAACATTTCTACATTTGATGATAACATGGTGGTCCTCCCATAAAACCAACCACATTGAGGTCAAACCTATTTCTTGGTTTTTTTTACAGATTCATCATCACAAGTCTTGATCAATCTCAATTTTCCACACTTTTTGTCAATATGGTCCTCCAATTAAAAATAATAGAAAACCTTATATATAGATGTGTACGTAGTGTTTTCGATCAATAAAATTAAGTAAAAAATATATACATAAAACCAATATCGTTTTTCACCAAATCAATCAAGGTTGGTCAGGTCAGCCAAAGATCTTCTGTCCTGAAGTTTCGTTGTCTCTTTATCTCAATACACTCTCAATCGTAAAATTATATGAAAATGTCGAGATGTATGAAATTTAAGAGATTATCTGATGGTTTAAAATGAATATAGAATGACATAAGATTTTATGTCCAATCAAGTCCACTATGCTCTTATTGGTTGAAGTACACCATGTAAGGAAAAAACAGTTAGGGTTGTGAAGATTAGGATTAAACTCATTCAAAAGATAGGCTTGCTTATGAATTTCTTACCCAAAAAACATCTGAATCCAAGTATCACTACTTAACCAAAACAGAGAGAGAGGTCAAAGTCGTAGAGACAATCTTGTGGGTTATGAAAATGAGGTGTGTGTTAAGCATTTCTGTGAAGTTATAGCAAAAGATGAGGCTGATGAAGTAGATGGACATGGCTGCATATATATATATATATATAACATGTGAACATTATTAAACAAATTAATAAATTATATATATATATATATATATTTAATTTATAGATATGATACTGATCATATGATTAAAATGTGTTATGTTTAGAGTCTAAAATTTCGTTACATTTAATAAGAAAACTTTATAAAATTTATTAATTTGTATAATATATTTTTATGTATTCACACCGAAACAACAACGAAATTGAATTAAAATCACTGGCATTTATAAGCTAAAAAAGCAACCAAAAAAAAAAATGCCAATCACATCGCTATCACTTTCTTGGAATTGTAAGGGAATTATTGTCATATTACACTTTCTTTTTTTTTCTTTTTTTGTTAATTTTAATTTTCTTTCCATTGTGATATGAGCATACCCATGATGTCATTTTCACTGTTATTCCTAGAGCATGGTCTTCCCTCCCCCAAAAAAAAAATTGCAAATGAACTAAACTTTGGAGTGTTTGTTTGATTTCAACTGGTTAAAAATTAGTTTATGAATTACTGACTTTATATTATGACTAGTTCCTACAAGCAAATGTAGGAGCTTAAAAATTCTAGTTCAATCTCAGGCTTAAAAATTTTAGTACTTAAAAAATTCAAATTCACCTCGACATAACTTAACTGTATAAATAAAATAAGCTTAAAAAGAAAATTTGTTTTTACATAATTCCCAATAACATGCACCACAATTTCACCCAATTATTTGATAATTTTAATAGTAATTTACACTTTTTAACCTTTGTAATTTGACTTAAATTTTATTTTAGTCATTTTTTTATAATTTGATCTCTACACTTTAAATTTAGTTTCAATTTAATTATTCCATTCAAATTAGAGGTTAAATTTAATAATTTGGAGACCCTCGTCAATTTTTTGAGATGTACATGCAGAAGAAGAAAAAAACTAATGAAAATTTTGGTAAAAAGACCAAATTGAAACTATGGAAATTAAAGTGAAATTCGAATAAAAGAAAATTTAGATCAAAGTATAAGGGTTTAAAGTATAATTTTTCCTAATCTTAATTATTGTAAAGCTATATATCAAATTGTACAGTGTTCGTACGTGACCTAAAAAGTGAAGTGTTTTTTTTTGTTTTGTGAATTAAATTATTATTGGTTATGACTTACAGTTTGTATATGGAGTGTTTTGGAAAGGAAAAAAAAAAAAAAAGTTGACTTTTAGTTTTTTACTCATTTTTGGGTCACGGCATTTTTTATTGACAGAAAAAAAAGGTTGAAAAAAGATAAAAAATTAATTTTTTACAAACTTTTCAAAACACCACAAAATATATATATATATATATATATGCACATTAAAAAAAAAAGTAGCAATCTGTGGGCGCAAAGAAGCTTGTTCTTGGCAATTAATGCATTTTGGTTTTTTTTTTTTTTGGGTTTTGTGTTTGTCTTCACAAAACATCAAAATCCTGACAGAAATCATTCTCAGTGCCCTGGTAGGTCAAAATTTCTCAGTTTTTCAAATTAGTTTAATATAGAATTTAGTTATAAAATTAGACATAAAACATTCCTAAATAAATAAGATTTTATAAAATTTATTAGTAAAATTCATCTCAATTTTTTTTTTTATTCATCTACATTAAATTATTGGAGAGAAGACTGCTACGTATCATTAGTTTTTAAATTTTTCCATAGTTGTATATCACAAAATATATAGCAAGATATGATTCATTTTTATTATTTTTAATAATTATTTTTAGAGTAATACTATACAAACAAAAAATTTCAAAAGATGATATCTTTGGTGATCCTTTCATTTCAAACCAATTGTAAAAATATTACTGTTATATCATTCTGAATGAATTTTATATATAAAAACTTCTGTTTGTAAATCATTCTCCTTATTTCTAAACACGAAACCAATCAGAAATAATAAAAAAACGATAATATATAACAATATTTTGGTTTTAAAATAGGAAATGTTTGTTAAATTAAGAAAGAAAATTGAAGTTTTGGGGGACTATATGGTAATTTGATGGAGGTTAAGAAGACAAAACAAAAGAAAAACTGTAGCCCGTGAAGGTTGCATGTGATCAAAAAAGATCTGTTACAATCAGTGCGCCTTGACACCGTATAGACCCACTCACGTGTCTTTTTGGCTTTTACATCAAATACACCCAAAAATAATAATAATAATAATAAATAAAATTCAAAGATATATACATCAAAAATTAAAAATATATATAATTTATATATGAATAATTCTTGGGATAATCAAAGCTAAGATACACAAATACTAAGGTCGTCTCTAACAGTTCACCAAATCTATTATCAAAATTAAATTTGGTGAAAAAGAGATACTTTTTGTGCTTTAACGGTTTCACCAAAACGGTATCAAATTGAGAACGCTTTAAAATTTTCACCGAACTAAAGATCTCTTGCACCTTTCAGCAATTTATTGTGTATAGCAATTGAGTGTGGACCCACCGAACGACCGGCCAGACATTCGGTCGAATGTCCTCCCGAATGACCACCTCAAGCAAAATTTTATGAAAATTTTACACCGCAAGGTCGACCCCCCGGTCCACCACCTTTGTATCTTTTTTTGAGGAAACAAAAGTGAGGAAAAAAGTGAGTTAAAATTGTTGTATTTCCCATTTGATTTCTTTGAAACTGTTTGAGGGTCTGCATTTCTTTTCATTACATTTCTAAAAGTGTGAGTGAAAATTATTAATTCAACTCTTTTCTCATCTAGTTTTGATTTCAATTCCAATTCTCAAAACAGATAGTGTAGTGACAAGCAGAGATGAATAAAACTTGAAAGATACAAAAATAATTCTAAAAACAATAGTAAGGGATTTTGGTTGAGATCTGAATGCCGAAGATGTTTTTAACCATGACCCCATTTTACGCTTACAAAAATCATGAAAATTTGAAATCAGGTAATGCTTCTGAGTGTGGGGGAAAAAAAAAAATCATTTTCCTTGTCCGGTTGGCCGATCGATCGTCTCCCAAACGTCCACTGTTTTTTAATGAAAGGTACAGTACACCGTTAAAATGGCTGATATCAAATTGAGGAACTCCCCTTTTTTTACTTAAATTTGATGAAAAAAATAATAAACTGTTATAGATGTCTAACAAATTAAGCATTATAAATTCAATCCATTCTGCATGCACAATTAAAATGAAACACAATTAAAATAAAACTCATTTGATCAAGAATGCCATACTGCCATATTACATGACAATTTGTCGAGACAACAACCGAAAAAAAAATTCCTCAAAAGAAAAGTTTTGTTTTATTTGACGGTCGATGCAATTGACTAACAAAGTTCAAGTTTAAGCCCGATGTTAGGGATGTTGAAGATTGAACCCAATCACATGAGCAATCGACGAGTGGAAAGCAATCAAATATTGCTCTGTGGCAAAAGTGGGACCCTTGATGATCTAAACAAATCCCAACAAAATGTCGCAAAGAAAGAAGGAAAATCATTAATAAAAGAGAGAAGCCAAGTAGATAATGAAACATAAATGTCTAGAAAATTTCTAAAGTGCACAGAATCAAATTACAGTCAAATTTTGTACACGTAAAAAAACTGAAATGCTAAATTACTAGACAATCTTTTGCTTATAGCTGCACAGAGCACAGCCCCCATGAGTTATGTTGTGCTCTTCCTATTTAAACCTATCAATCAGCACTTCCTTTTCGCTATCTAAGAACTCTCTCTCTCTCTCTCTCTCTCTCTCTCTCTCTCTCTCTCTCTCTCTCTCTGAGATTCCAAACACAGAACATGAGTGCATTTAGCTTCAGAAGCCTCACATTTATGATGTTTATTACCTTCCTAATTTGGTCATCTCAGATAGACACTTGCAATGCCAGAAGAGGCAAGCATTGGAGGCAAAGCAGAGCTAGCTCGGCTTCTCTGTACAAGAAGAAAGGAAAGAATCACCACCAGCACCATGGCAATAACGGCAAATCAAAACATAAACATTCATCACCAAAAGCACCTCCAGTGCCAGAACCAAACATTCCACCATCCCCGCCAAAGCAAAGTCCTTCCACCGTCTTCAATGTACTAGATTTTGGCGCCAGGGGAGATGGAATATGCGACGACACAAAGGTACCTGCAAATTCTTGTTCTACGTTCAGAAATCAGAGACAGTTAAACTCACTCTCAGAATTCATAGTTACAATGCAAGTCCTTCAAAATTTTTTCTAACCTTTTCAACAATTCATAGAATCATCAACACAATTAAGCATATCCTTAAACAAAATTTCAACAAATTATTGTACTGAACTCTGTTTTTGCAGAATAGTTGGTTGCCCGGGTTACTAAATGGGCATTATGGTCAAATTTTCTTACCCGTGATTTATTAGTAGAGGACAACAAAAAATTAGGTAATTTGTTACATGCATTAGTATTTAGTAATGAACAAATCTATAAGTATATAGAATCATTGTTATACAATGTAACAAAAATAAACAACTAAGGGAAAAACAGCAGGCCAAAAACAGATAGGGCCCACTCGAATGATTCCGGTTACGGCATTTAGGTCAAGAGTTCCAACAATAATTGTATACAGTTCTGTTCAAACTCCCACCTGTAGGATTATAAATAAACATATAGACATTCTTTCTAGCTGGTAAAGAAACATACTAAATGCTAATAATTGTTTTGTATTACTGAGAAAATTGTATTTTCTATGGTTCGACGCAGGCATTTCAAGCAGCATGGGCAGCTGCTTGTAAAGTAGAGGCATCAACGATGATGGTCCCATCAGAATTCACGTTCCTTGTGGGACCCGTTTCATTCTCTGGTTCTAATTGCAATCCAAACATTGTCTTTCAGGTAACTCAATATCTGCCACTCTAAGAAGCTTTTAATCATTAAGTAGAAAAATGTGTTATCCAACCTAATATAGTTATATCCATTCGTAGGGTCTTTAAAAAGTAACTTCTTTTATCTTATGTAGGGCTGCAAACTAGTCGATTTGAGCCGAGCTATGCAGGGCTCGAGCTTAGCTTGAAAATTAATCCAGCTAGAGCCCAACTCAAACCTCGATAGTGAAGAAAAAGTTTGGCTCAATTATCAAACTCGGTCGGCTAGTTAAATACTGTTTTAATATATGCATATATAACACATTTTATATTATTTAATATATAAATATTATATTTATCCTATTATTTTAATGAATAATAGCCTAAAATTTTGGCTTGGGCTCGTTTATATATGTAACAAACCGAGCCAAGTAGAACCCTTACCGAGTCAAGCAGAGCTGAGCCGGATTCTTGAGCAGCTCGGTTAATTTGCAACTCTAATCTTATGCAACTTTTTTGCATCATGCATTATTAAAAATGTAACTTCTGAGGCAAATCAATTAAGTATTTTCACTTTTCAGCTTGAAGGCACAATTATTGCTCCAATGAGCTCTAAAGCTTGGGGTTCAGGTCTCTTGGAATGGCTTGAATTTACGAAAATGATAGGAATCACAGTTCAAGGAACAGGCACCATTGATGGAAGAGGCTCAGTCTGGTGGCAAGAGTCCCCTTACAATGACCCCCTAGACGACGAATCAAAACTAATTATCCCATTAAACAACACGGTTGAAGAAAACTCATCAATTCCTGTAACCAACTATTTGCTCTGACCTCTCATTTCTTTGTCTGCATCTAGTTTCTCCCTTATCTAAAGCCTCATAGTGCTAATATTTCTACAATGTGTGGCAGATAAGCAATTCACTCGGTGGGAAAATGCCAAGCATAAAGCCAACTGTAAGGACCACTTCAGACTTCTAAAATGAAATTTTTTTACCATGCAAACCTTTAAACATGGTAATTGTACTTTGGCTCCACAGGCACTTAGATTCTATGGGAGTTTCAATGTGACGGTCACGAGCATAACAATTCAGAACAGTCCCCAGTGCCACCTCAAGTTCGATTTCTGCACAGGAGTCTCAGTTTTTAATATGAATGTCATATCTCCTGGTGACAGCCCCAATACTGATGGCATCCACCTACAGGGCTCCAAGGATGTGTTAATCCGCAGTACTAATCTTGCATGCGGTAATTTACTTGTAAAATTGTTGCATTCCTAATTTCATAAGTGGTTAAGCCCTGTTCCCTACATCTCTTTAAAAGATCTCTGGAATTCAAATTGAGGCTATATGGTCTAAACCACAATATACCTAGTGCTAATTGATGACATTACTAGCGTAATGGACAAGAGACCTCATACAATTGAGATACCTGTAACATATTCCTCTATACATGATACCACAAACTTATCCTTCCAGTCACTGAAGTCCAACAACTAATATTTTGACACATGGCAACCAGTCATCACTTATGTTATCCTTGTCCCCTACAAGCTAAATTGGGCCGTTACCAGACACGTGTTATACCTTGTTTCCTCAAAGAACAATCCAGTATGGATTAGGTTTAAACCCACAAACCGCACAGACAGGTTTAGCTTTTGTCGTATTCATTCACTTTTTCTTTTGTCTTCTCTAGAAATAAGAACAACTGCTTTCTCCCCTTTTGTCCTCGCATTCTAATGCTTAAGATTTAACATTGAATTAAACATAAATGAAAACCAATTTATTACAACATAGACAATAAACATACAAGGTCCATGCATCAAGTACATTAAGATCTCAAGTTTTAATGCTTTGTGCAGGAGATGATTGCATTTCTATACAAACAGGATGCACAAATGTATACATACACAATGTGAACTGTGGACCTGGACATGGAATCAGCATTGGAGGGCTAGGAAAGGATGGCACCAGGGCCTGCGTCTCGAACATTACTGTCCGAGATGTCAATATGCATAACACAATGAATGGTGTCAGGATAAAGACATGGCAGGTAAAGATACAATCCGCAATTCATATAGCTGCAAAGTGCAAATTATGCTGAAATAACACAATTAAGAATATGATTTAGTGAATCTAACAAAAAGTCTTCATAGAACCAAAAAAACTCTCAAAACCAAGCAATTATTTCCCACTAGAAATTGCCAGACAGACTCAAGTAGAATCAAGTTTTCAGCAAGATGGAGTTTAAAATTTTAAAGGAGTTTTGACTTTACAATTTCGACCTCTTACATAAATTTCAGGAATTATCTTTTTTTGTGGTAATAAAAATTGAAAACTCTGAATATCATCCAATTTCGTCCAAAACAGCCAATTCATTACCAAGTCAACTTGACATTCTTCCTAGTTCTAATGTACTTTTATGCAGGGTGGATCAGGGTCTGTACAAGGAGTACTGTTCTCAAACATTCAAGTATCTGAAGTTGAACTACCAATCGTAATTGACCAATACTATTGTGACAAAAGGCAATGCAAGAACCAAACATCTGCTGTGTCCCTATCAGAAATCACGTAAAAGATAAAAGGAACTTACACAGTGAAACCGGTACACCTTGCTTGCAGTGACAACCTACCATGTGTGGATGTCACACTAACTGACATAGAACTAAAACCACAACAAGAACAGTACCACATGTATGATGTCTTCTGTTGGCAGACTTTTGGAGAGTTGAACTCTCCCACTGTGCCTCCAATTGGTTGTTTACATGTTGGCAAGCCATCAAACAACCGGATTCAAAATGATCATGATTTATGTTACACGTAGCCTATGTATATTCTGGTGTAGTTACTTGTGTGGTCAGCGTGATTTACTGGCCCCTTTCACACCATTAGATAGAGATGTAATAGTGCATACTATAGTAGCGGTAGTTTTAGGGATTCTTCTTTACTAGGGTTACATTTGTTCTCATTGTGTGACCATACAACATTGTTAGTAACTAAGAGTTTGATTGTAGGTGTAATGCAGCCTTATCTGCTAAGGTAAACTGTCTGTTGTCAAATATATATACATGTGTATCTATGAGATGTGTGATAAAATAAATCACCAATTAAACATGATTGAAATTTGCAATCACTAGAGAAAGTACAAGTGGATAGACATCATGTGTGAGTTTCATATTGGTGACAGTAAATGATAAACACATTGTTTTCAAATCTAAAACACATGAAAGCATCATAAATGAACTTCCACAAACAATTTACTGTGCACAGTTCAAGCAAATTGGTTATGGAAAAGATATGCATAGCAAGAACGAGAATACATGATATACATACATATACACTAGAGCAGGGAAAGGTCAAATTTTAAAATTTAAGGAAAGTGCAGACCTGAAGCAAGTAATTACTAGTGAAGGCTCATTTTAGATGGAAACTCTAGAAGGACAAGAACTCTAGAATTAAGAGAAACACTAATGCACAAAAATGATAGGCTAAATACAAGACACAAGTTGATGCATTTATCACAATAAGGAAAAAAAAAATTCAGCATTTATATTTTCAACTGTACCTGGTTATTTTCCCCTTCGAGTTCCCAGTCTGTACAAAGCTAATGAGGGAATTGACATTACCTCAGATTCAATGTGCTCCACTTAAATAAATTTTCTTTTACTCCAGCTCTTGGAACATCCTACTTAATTAATAGTTGCCCATGAATGAGAATTTTCTAACAGATCATATGGTGAAAACCATTAGCTTAAGGTGTAGTGACTAGAAACCTAAAAACAAAAGCTAACAGTCATGATGTCCATACCTCAAAAAGGGAGTATATCAAGGAAGTACATAGTTTGAGATAAAGAGTTTAAAAGGTAGCCAGCAATATAACAGTTTGGTACAAGGAGTCAGTAGCACAATCATTCGGTAGAGATAAAAGAAGCACTTCTGCGACTTACATCCACGTCAAACACTGTCCCTTTTTATAGTGGCCAAACTCTGCAGATAAATAGCATATTGTCAGTTTCCAAATAATTCAAGAATATCCCATACAAACACTGCAAAATTATCATATCACACCTAATAAAAAAGTGTAAATTACCAAATGCTCAATGTAATAAATAAATCCCAACAAACCTCAAACATTTATTCAGTCGGTCATGGTAGAATAACATATAACTGCCAAACCGCTGGGCTCAACAAAATGGTCATAATGTAGTCTTTCTAAACTAGTCATGTCAATCTTATATTGATCAGGTCATTTACAAATTGTGAACGGAAACCATATTTTTAGACCTTGGAGCATCACCATTATTGTGTTAGTCCATAACAACATCCAATCAATATGTAATGATAAACAAACAAATTCCAGTGAACTTATCAGAAACTAAGGACAAATATGTACAAATTTATTTTAATCTAGACAAAAAACAAATCATCAAAGAAGTTATATACAGGGTGGAGATTCTGCCAAGATGGGATGGGAAACTGGAATGGTAGCTATAAATTCGGAAGAAAACTAAGATATCCTTGCCTTTGACCATGGACAACATCAGGTTGTATTTTAGTGTGACCTTCTTAAGGCTTTGTTTCAAAACAAAATGGAACCCTTTACATACATCAAGCCTATAAGCTCTGAGATAGAGAAAAATAAGAGAGAATGAGAAAACACTTGATAATTAGGAAATATTTATAGGAGAGGTAAGAAGGTGTGAAGGTATTGACTAGTGACAATATCCCTGTGAGCAAAACCTGAAGCTGTTAGAGCCGGCTTCTATAAAAAAATCAAAATTGAACTTAAGTAAATCTCAGAAGTTGAAGATAAACTGCTGAAGAGATGACACTAAAACGATGGCAACAAGTGAGTCTGAATCTGAACTGGCATTTTGAACAGTCATCATTAGGTTGAACTTACCTCTTGGACAGACTTCATTTTTCTTTTGAGCAAGAAGATATAAGAACAAGAATCACCCCATCTCCAGATTCCTGCACTGTACCAGATTGCTATTCTGATTTCCTTTCAACCACCTCCACAACAGAAATTTTTATTCCTGCCCAACCCTTGATATTCATCTTATACCACCAATAAGTTATTGCCTTAATATTAATTGCATTGTTTACCAAGCCATCACTTTCACAGGCACTGTAACAACTTCTTTGGCTTTAAAAGAAGTGACAGCTGGCCATGTCAACCCCCACAACCTTTCACAAAATCACATGAGCTTCCCATGGAAAGATTTCAATCCAATTTGTGGAGATAAGTGGGTTACAAGTAGCTGAAACAGCTCATAATTGTTACAGTTGATCCACTATTTTTGTCATTGTCTTATCTCCCACCACGACAAAATTTGGCTATTATTGTATCCATCATCAGCCATCTTAAATGCCATGAGAATCCTCACTAAAAAGTGGAACTTCCATTAAAGCTTCCATGAATTTGAAATTGCTACTACTCCACCTGTCAACTAACTTTCAAATTGCCAGCAATTTCTGCACATATTTCCAACCCTAAGGCATCACGAACTCATTTCTATGCCTGTAGAGCCATTCAGAAAAACCAGCATTATTGACACAAGTCAGTCATCAAATGCACCAGACCACTTCTCTCCATTTAAAAATTCAACAATGCAAATTGATTTATAGACATCTTAACTACACAGAAAGTGGCTGCCAAGAATGGTGAGAAGGAGATTATTGTAAAGTTAGGCAAACATAAGGAAAATCAACAGTTCAGGTTTCTATACAAATCATTTTTTTTTAAGATTAGACAGCATTGTAAGTTCTAGCATCATTTTGGTTTGGACAAAACCAACTCCAGCTGGAGCCAAAAAGAGAATATTCAAATGTTCTCAAGTTATTTTTACTGATTATTGCCAATATGTTCTGAGGGACACAATGATACAAATCAACTCTATAGTGAAAATAAAATAAAAGGGTAACATAACAATAAGGACTACTCAAAATGAACTACTATGCTCATAATTCATCAATTTTCGGTGTCATTAGAAAAAAGTCAAGTATATACAAATCACCACCATAGCAAAAATACAATTAAAAGAGAAAGAGGGAAGGGAGATAAGATAAGCATGAATACCTTCTGTGAAACTGGGAACTTAGCAAGAAGCCAAAAGATTCATCAAGCCTTCTTCATAATAAGTGATCCAATCCATCAATCACAAACCACCCACTTCTACGGGCAACAAACTTGCATGCTCAAGAAGCACATTCACATTTGAGACAACTTGAAAGGAAAAGCACAATTCTCTTGTTTGCTAAATTATGGGCACTAGGAAAGTGGGAAGAATGGTAGTCCTCGTGGCCTCACCTCATTGCAAATGAAGCATGCAGAACTTGAGACCTTTTGATAATGAAAGCGTGTATAGGATTATAGGAGAGATAGGGAGATACAATTATGAAGTGCCAGCCCCAAAAGCCTTTTGTCTATACTCCATATAAAATAAGAAAGCATCCTGACAGTGTAAATTTGAGCAGTAATTTACCAATTCAATGTAACCTATAATGCCATTTCTTAATGATGAGAAGACTAGTGGTAGTATTTACAAAGTGCAATAATATATGATTTCCTTGAAACTCCAAAATGCCACAAAACTAGAGTTTTGAAATGAGGGGTGTAATTTAAATTTTATGAACAAATTCTACATTATTGCATGCAAATCCCCTCAGTGAGAGTGTTAGCGATCTTCTAATAGATTTCAAGGCTTTTGACTTCCCTCCAACAAACCAACCCTTTGGCATGATATCCGCTATGAAATCAAGAATAGAAGAGATCACATACATTATTTTGCCTATGTATATATATATATATATACACATTAATATTGCTTCAAGTTCGCCAATCAAGTTTCACAAGTGGTAGTGAAGTATGATAACAAAAGTTGCATAAATAATCAGCCATCTACCATATTGCATTCGTTGGCCCATTACATGTATTCATTGTAAATGAACCACATTATAAACTTTATGGCTAGATGTACAGTATAATTATATTCAACTCTTTTGCGTTTTTGTGCCACAAAGTTATGATTCTCACTAATTTAAAATTCGTGCCAACTAGACCTGAACTTAATAATCCATAATCAGAGCATTCAATTTTTAACCTTTTTTTTTTTTTTTTTTGACCAACATAAGCGAACACAATTAAAAGCTCCACATGAAATAGACCGAGTTCTGAAGATAAGGAACAAGTAGAAGCTAAATAGGAACAGAAACAGCCTTTATTTTCACAGACAAAGTTCACCATTTCATAGAAAACAATACTCGATCCTCCTGAATGGAATATCCAAATACAAAAGAGATTGAAAGAGAAAATCAACAATAACAAAATTAGCTTTATCCAATTCTTCCGATGTTTCAAATATCAATTTCCACCATTACTGTTTAGAACAGTCTTACAATATGACGATGGAAACCGAAACATTCTTGATTTGAAATTCATAGACAAAATTCACCACTTCATCAAAAAATAAAAACTCAATTCTCCTTAATAATATCCAAATGAAAAAAAAAAACACAAAAAACACAAAACAAAACAAAAGAAAACTAGTAGCTTTGTCCCTCTATGAAATACATTCATTCATACAATTCTCCCATTGTTTCGGTATCAATTTCCTCCATTACTGTTAGAACAACAACCATCACCGTGATCGTGATCATGATCGTGATTCTTGTTGGAACGACCATCTCCATCGTTGACTTCGTCATCGCTGTCGTCCTCGTCGAAGGGCTTCTCCTTGTGGAATATACAGCATTTCTTGGAGCTCTTCTTCTGAAGAAACTCGTTATCGACGGTGCCTTCCTTCCATGTCACCTTCTTCTTCTTGCGATTGAGTCGCAGAGTTAGGGTTTGCGGAGGCTGAGGCGGTTGTTGTTGTTGTTGTTCTTGTTGATGCGGCTGGGTAGAAGAGGAAGTGGAAGGAGATGAGCGATCTAGGGTTAGGGTTGTTGTGGTGGTGGTCGGTCCCAATTGCCTCGCTGTGCTACTCATTGATCTCGCCATGTCTCTTCGATCTCGGATTGGGGATTTTGCAGGACCCAACAAATTGTTCGCGCGTTCTAGGGTTTGATTGGCTTCGCACCCGTGATTTTTTAACCGTTTTAACGGCCCGTTTGGATGTCGGAAGATATCTTCTCGAAATAAAGGAGAATTTCTTCTTTCCTTTTGTTTGCCTATTTTAAATTATTTAAATGAAATGAGAGTTGTTGAAATTGGTTTAAAATATAAATTATTTTTTGTTATTTTAAAAATTATATTTTATTTTTTTTAATTTTTAATTTTTTTTAAGAAAATTTATCTATAAATCTCATCTTATGGAATGGTGATTCATTTAGTTCTAAGAATTTTTTTATAGACTAATTGGTCTCATTGATTTTGGAAATATAAATTTAATATATTATTTAAAAATTAGATTTACAGTTATATTCTTATTTTTATTATATTCCTTCTCTTTTGTGCTAGAAATGTAAGGTACACAATATATGATAATCAAATTTGAAATGAATTTTTATATAAAAAAAAATTTATTTTGGAAACATTTCAAAAAGAATACAAAAATGATTTAATAAGATTCTTTAAACATTTCAAAAGGATGTAGGATTTTTCAAATATTTCGAAAGGAGTACAAAAATTACTTAGTAAGTTTTGGCCAAATATATAATTTCAAACTGTAATATTCCCATGTAACACTCAAACGTAATACTCTAATGTTAACACTCTAAAAAAAAAATTTTGTGTAATATCCTAAGGGTGTGTTTAATTGGACGGAGTGGATAATGGGGATTAGAATCCATCAGACTTGAGTCATGTGACTGTTAATCTCCCGGACTATTTGGCTGGATTGGATAGGTATCCTGTGTTTGTTTTTTCATGAGATTAGATGTCTGGAAATGACTATTTTTAGTGAATCTAACGTTTGGTTTGACGAATTGGATAGGATAAATGAACAAAAGACTATTTTACCCTTTTCAATTGTTTACTAAGTAATAGTAATATTAAACATATCTTTAATATTTTAATTATTTTTAGCTAGATTAAATAAAAATTTATTTTATTTTATTTTTTACCCAATTAAATAAATTTATTTTTTTAAATAAAATAAATAAAATATCAATAAAAATATATGTTATTTTTTAATTAAAATTTTAAATAAGTTTATTTTTAAAAATAATAATAATTAAACAATGAAATTAAATAAAACATCTATTAACATTTAAATAATAAAATTAAATAAAATATAAACAAAATTTTAAAATAAAACATCAATAAAATATCTATAAAAAATTATTTAAAAATAAATAAATAAAATATCAATAAAAAGTTAAATAAAATTATTTTATTTTTAAATTGAGACATTTAAATTTTATTAAATTTTACTAAATATAATACATAATTAAATAGTAGAGGATCAAAATGGTCATTTCACCACCTAATCCCAATAGTAAATAATCCCCCAAAATTGTCCCACACCCCCCAGGATAATATAATCCCCCATATGGGAGATAAGGAGTCCGGTCGGACTCCATGTCCGGCAGACTAAAAAAAAAACAACATCGGATTGGATTTACTGTGCGGATTACAATCCGCACAGTAAATAATCCCCCCCTTATCCCCCAATCAAACACACCCTAATATAACACATAAAAAAAAGTTCTTATTGTACTTTTCCTAAATGTAACACACCAATATAACACTCTAAAAAAACTCCTTAGTCCAACACTCTAATGTAGCACACAAAAAAATTTCTTATTGCAACACTCCAATGTAATACACAAAAAAATTTCTTAGTATATTTTTTCCAAACGTAACACTCTAATATAACACACACAAAAACGTCTTAATGTTAAAAACACTCCTTAGTGTAACAATCTAACGTAATACACAAAAACTCATTAGTGTAACATTCTAATGCAACACACAAGAAAATTCATTAGTGTATTTTTTCAAAATATAACAGTTCAATATAATACTCTAAAAAAATTCCTTAATGTAACACAAAAAAAAAAAAAAATCTTTGATGTACTTTTTCCAAACGTAATGCTCCAATGTAACACACACACACACAAAAAAAACCCTCTTAGCATACTTTTAATAAACGCAATGCTCCAATGTAACACTAAAAAAAAAAATTTGTGAGATTTTTCAAATCATTCTAAAATGAGTACCAATATTCTTTAGTAAGTTTTGAGTAAATGTATAATTTTAAACTGTGAATGTTACGTTTAGAAAAACTACATTAAGAAGTTTTTTTAGTGTTTGTGTGTTATATTGGAGTGTTACGTTTAGGATTACATTAATTTGAGTGTTATGTTTAAAAAAAATACACCAAGACATTTTTTTGTTATATTGGATTATTACGTTTGAGAAAAGTACACCAAAGAGTTTTTTTTGTTTGTTACGTTGTTACGTTTGAGAAAAGTACACCAAGAAGTATTTTAGTGTTACAATGAGATGTTACATTATTGGGCCCCGTTTGTTTGGAGTTATGGGAAGGGGATTGGGTTTGATAGTGAGGAGGGGATTGAGAATGGGGTGTTTGTTTTGAGAGATAGGGAGGGGACTAATAATCCCTTGGTATTAGTAAGGAGGAGGAAGGAAGATTGGTAAGGAAGATGTAGAGATGGTATTAGAAAAATAGTAAAGGGATAGAAATTTTTTTATTTTTTTATTTTTTATATATTGGGAATTTTTTTTAAATATAATGTTTATTTTTTTTATATTTTTTTATTTATTTTATTATTTTATATAAAAATAATTTAACAATTCCTCACTAACAATCCCCTCACTATTAATCCCCCCACTATCAATCTCGGCCATTCTATCTCCCAAAACAAACGGGTTGAAGTGTTGCATTAGAGTGTTAGGTTTTTATTCGTGGTGTGAGATCTATTACAAAATGAAGGAAAATCCAAAATTTCTATAGTACAACTTGCCTAAGTCCTCGTTTGGTAAACATTTTGGGACTAAAAAAGTATAAAAAAACAAAATAGACTATATAAGTCAATAAGACAAAATGTTACATTCAACCAAAATTATTATACTTTTTCTCTTACAAAAATCAAAAAAATCCAAAAACAAAAATCAAACGAAGTTAAAAAAGTCCCAACACAAAAAAGTTGACTACCGTAACCAATGTCAAATGAAGCTTAAATGTGTTATTTTTCATTTTGAGAAGCTTACTTTTATCTCCAAAAAAACAAAATGTTTGCCTAAAAATAATTGCACTAAACACGAAAACTATTGTACACACTTCAAAAAATAATAATAATGCTTATCATAACCACTAAATTTATAAAATAAATTTGAGTCATTGATTAAATTGTTTAAATTACTATTTTTCATATAAATGAATAAATATAATTGACCCTATTTAAAATTTTTATGGATTATATTTAAAAAATCATTTATAATTTACATCACGACAATCATAATCTTGAAAATTTAAATAAAAAAATCAAGAAAAATTATTAAATATTTTCAAAATATCATACAATATTATGTACATGATATTTTTGAATAATGTAAATTACAATACATAAGTGTGTTATTCATAGAAGATCCAAGAAGTCTCTTTTGGCTGCATCTAAAAAAAATCAACTTAGAGCATCTCTAATGGTTCAAGTCAAAATGGTTTTGCCAAGTTATTTTTTGGTTTGCTACCATGCACAAAAGTCAATTTTTGTCTATACCACTCCAATGGAGACTTTTTTTTTTTTTTTTCTTTTTGATTCAAAGGAAATTCAAACAAACAAAAGTTTAGAGAAACAACAAATTAAAGAAAAACAAATAAATGAAGAACTAATCCCTCAGCACACTAACTCCAATCATGTCATTAATGATCAGAGCCTTCACTTCGTTAGGAGGTTCTTCAAGCACCAGTACATGCTCATCTTGAGCAACTCTCATGTTTGCAAGAAGATCAGCACATTTATTTCCTTCCCTTGGGGTATGGCACAAGGAGCAGTTGCACCTTTTCAACAGAAACTTTGCATCCTCTATGAGAGCTTTATATGGTGAGTTAAGGCATGGTTCAATCTGTATTTGGTTGATAGCCAGTTCTGAATCAGATTCAATATCCACTCCCTCGGTGCCTTTCTGGAATAAGATTGTGAGTCCTCTGTAGATAGCCTATAGTTCAGCTTCGAGACTGGAACAATGTCCCAACTTTCTATAAAATCCCCAGATCCATACCCCCGTTTCATCACGTAGCAACCCTTCATATCCAGCTTGGCCTGGGTCAACTTTAGAACAGCCATCAACATTTAATTTAAGTTTCCCTGCAGATGGACAAAGCCAATGAATTAGTCTATTTTGATATAGCCTAGGGTTGAGGACAGAGTGATAGGCCTCATCAATCTCATAAACATAATTCCTTATGTTCTTGAGACTAATTTGAATGGAAGGATTAATATTTTCAAACACAAGTTTGTTACGATCTTTCCAAATTTGCCAAAGAGTTATGGTGAAAACAAGTTGCCATTTTTTGCCAAAATACTCACTTTTATCTTTCAAATTGGAGGTAATCCATTCAAGTATAGGCTTATCACAACCTTTCTCTCACCAGTTCCTATTTTTTATTTCAATCCAAATGTTTTGTGAAATGGTGCAGTTTCTGAGGAGATGGTTCATATCCTCGCTAGGCAAACCACATCTAGGACATAAGTCAGGTGTTGTCATATTCCTCACAAGTCTCATGTGATTGGTTAGCAGCCTCTCTTTGAGAATAAGCCATAGGAAGCATTTCAATTTCTAGGGGATCTTTAATTTCTAAAGCCATTTCCAATCCTTACCATCTCCTTCCTGCCTTGCAATAAGCTAATAAGCTGAAGTTGTAGTGAAGTTGCCACAGGTGGATCCAACCCAAACAGGAGTATCAGTGTAGGTGACAAATCTGGGCCTATGGATTTTGAGGATTTCCTGGATATCTTGGGAGTTTAAAATAGATTTCAAAGTATCTATGTCCCAATAGCCCTCTTCATTGAGTATTGAGCTAACTTTTTGAAGAGCATTATCCTGCTGGGCGGTGTAAGAAATAGAAAATAGTTGTTTCCCACACCACCAGTCACACCATGGTGAAATGTTCTCACCATTTCCCACATTCCATTTTACTCCCTTCTCCAAATGATCTCTCATTCTGCATATGTTCTTCCAAGTATGTGAAGAACTCCTCTTGATGGGCCAATTAAAGATGGAATATGAAAAATCTAGAAATTTCCTAGATATTGATTTGTGATTATGTATCAATTTTAAGCAGTAAATATCAATCCCAATCAAACAATCAAGACAAATCGACACAATGATTTGAACGTGAAAAAACTACAATTAGAGCGCCTCTAATTGTAATAAAAAACCATGGGCAAAAGCAACAAAACAATCCACTAAAAAGACATAAAGGAATTACATAGGTATGCTTTCAATTACCTAGCGAATCTACGCTCGAATTTAACCAACCCCTTTGTGCCTCTTCCAGCCCCATCTTCACCTCAGAATTGTCTTTCCCAACGTTGAATCTACAACGACCATGTCGAATCACGACGATGAGCCACTCCAAAATCCACCAAAACTTCAGGCTCGAATTCCCCAGAATCCACTGAAGAACAACTCTCTCTTTTGTATAGAATAAACAAACAATCCTTTGATGTATACTTCTCAAATCATGAGTTGAATACTCAATCAAACATCAAAGAAAACTAACAAACTAGCCCCAGATATAAACCTTAATATCCAAGAAGAAAATCTCAAAAACGTAACCCTAGATTAGGACTTAAACAAGTACTTATAGAAAACAGAGACTGCGAAGCTCGCTCGAGCGAAGACTTTCTCGCTCGAGCGAGGAAACAAAAACGCGTGTTTTCCTTAAGAGGAGTCGCTCGAGCCAAGCTTCCTTCGCTCGAGCGTACAACCTTCCTTCTCAGGTTTTTGGTAGACAGACGTAGCTTCTGAAAATAGGACTCCTTCGCTAGAGCCAAGACTCTTTCGCTTGAGCGAGCAATGGCGGACAAGCAACTTCGAATGCATGTTTTCATTTTACTTAGGGGGTGCTGCCCTAGACTCCCCAAGAGGCGCTGCCCCCTAGACCCTCGCGAGCTAACCGAGCAACTCGATCCCCGTCATAATCAGCGAAGTGGCAAACATGAAAGAATTATCTTCTGAAACTTCTTTGCAAGGCACAATTAGGGTTGGATTCGCATCTAAAAACTCATAGCCTCACTGAAATACAAAGTGCGAATACAAGTATAACTAAAAGGAGTTTTGTCAAACGGGATTGCCAAGAATAAAAACCTAACAGAATGCTTTCTCAAATACTTGGAATGCATAACTTTACACCATAATTTGTTCTGGTCACTCAGCATTTTCTACCCAAGTTTAGTCAATAAAGCAGCATTCTGGTCCCTAGCTTTCCTAAGTCCAAGCCCTCCTTCATCCTTACTTTTATAAACATTCTCCCAGTTAACTAGGTGAACTTTCTTTTTGGAATCAGTTTCTCCCCATAGAAAATTTCTATTGAGTCTATCCATTTCATCACAAACTCTTCTAGGAATTTCCATGGACTGCATATTATAACTGGGTATAGTAGAAGTGACAGCTTGAATAAGTGTGATTCTACCAGCTAGGGAGAGGGTTCTAGCCTTCCAACCTGACAGCCTAGTTTTAATTTCTCCAAAGTTTCCCTAAACATATTTCTATTGACTCTACCATGGATCGTAGAAGAGCCCAAATATTTGCCAAGGCTTTGAGTTGAAGGGATGCCACTATGGAAACTTAGGGATAGGGCTTTGTTACGGGCTAAATTGGGGAAAACAAAAAGTTTGGATTTAGAGTGATTAATTTTTTGCCCAGAGACTACACAAAATTCAGTCAACACTGTCATTATAGTTTCACAGTTGAAGAGGTCTGCCTTAGCAAATAAAATAAGATCATCAGCAAAGAATAAATTAGAGATGGGTGGGCTATTACGAGCTGCTTTGATCCCTTTCCACTGGCCACCATCAACCTTGGAATTAATCATATTAGAAAGCCTTTCCATGCAAAGAACAAAGAGGTAAGGGGAAAGTGGGTCACCTTGTCTCAAGCCTCTCTCATTCTTAATTCCATCTAGCATCTCTCCATTCTAAAGGACAGCAGATTTGCTGTTAGTGACACAGCTCATTATAAGGTTTATCCAATCATCATTCATATTAAACTCCACAAGTGTGTCTCTAATAAACTCCCAAGATAGACGATCATAGGCTTTTTCTAAATCGATTTTAAAAATCATACATCCCTCCTTACCTTTTTTGTGCCACAAAGTGTGTAGAACCTCCTAGGTAATGATGATGTTTTCAATAGTATTCCTTCTCGGAATAAAACTACTTTGGTTGGGGCTCACCAAGCTATCCAGGAGTGGTCTAACTTTATTTACAACAATTTTTGAAATGATCTTATAGGTAACATTGCAGAGGCTGATGGGTGTGAATTGTTTGATATTGACAGGGTTGTCGATCTTAGGGATAAGAACAATAAAAGTTTCATTAACAGATACAGGAACAGAATTGCTGTGGAAACAAGCATTCACAAACTCACACATAGACTTACCAACAATACTCCAATAGTTATGATAGAAGATTGCCTGGATGCCATCAGCTCCAGGGGCTTTAAAGGCACCTATATTTCTCACAACGTGAAGAATTTCAAGACTGGACAAAGGCTTCAAAAAGCCATCGTTATTTTCCTTAGAGAATTTAGCTGGGGTGTTATTCTTCTAATGGTCTAATTGTTGAGTGACACTTTTGCTAAAGAGGTTCTGAAAATAATCAAGGATGATATTTTTAACCCCCTCACTGTCACTAATCCAATTACCTTTATCATTCTTAAGGGCGTTAATTTTAAGTTTACGTCTCTTATTTAGAGTGGATATATGAAAATATTTGGTATTTTTATCTCCAAGGGTGATATGTTTGGATCTAGATTTTTGGAACCAAAGCATTTATTCCTGTAACAACGTCTCATTGTAATCCTTAATAAGCATGTGTTCAAGATTTTAAAGGTTGTGGGTAAAATTTTCAGCAAGAGCTTTTTGGGTACCTTTAATTCTAGCAAGGAGTCTCCTTGTACGTTTAAAAATGTTTCCAAAAACCTCCTTATTCCATTCAGTGACTCTATTAGTAAATTCAGTAGCAGAGTCAAGGAGGTGATTGTTCATATTATGCCAAGAAGATTTAATAACATTAATAAGGTCAGGATAAGACATCCAAGCGGCCTCGAAACGGAAGGGCCTATTACGAGGGTTTAAAGTGTGCATACCTTGTGTGTAGACAACAAGAATGGAGTGATCAGAATAAGTTCTAGGGAGAACTCTAACTGTGGCTTCGGGAAACATGGTCTTCCATTCCGCAATGCACAGTGCTCGGTCAAGTCTCTCTATGGTGTTAGCTTAGCCTTTGCCTTTTGTTTGTCCACTTCATATGAGGTCCAACGTTGCCCAAGTCAATGAGATTACAACGATTCACTCGATCAATGAATTTTTGAGTTCTATTAGTATTGTGGTTAGCTGAGAAACTCCCTCTTTCTCTTTGATTTGCATAGTCATTAAAGTCCCCAGCAACTAGCCAAGGCTCTTGCATGGTGTTCGCTACATCTTCAAGGTCTTGCCATAGCTGTTCTCTAAGGTTGGGGTTGGGGCTAGCATAAATAGCAGCCAGTACCCATTCCTCATAGTCCTCCTTGTGGATAGGAATGGCAACGGGCCGGGGCGGAGCCGGGGATCACCCTCCCCGTCCCTGATCCCCGAAACTACCATATTCCCCGTCCTCGGCCCCGATCCCCGGCGGGAAATCCATCAACCCCCCCAGCCCCGCCCCCTACGGGGCTCGGGTTTCCCTGACCCTGGTTTATCCCCGTAATTATCATCAACAACATCATTCACAATCAACAACATCATCAAAAAAAAAAAAAAAGTTCAAAAATCATCAACATAAACATCATCAACGGCAGTAAGCAACATCATAAAAATAAAATAAAATAAAAAAATTCATCAACACATCATCAAGGCAGCAACATCATCAAAAAATAAAAAATAAATAAATAAATAACGTAAAGACAGATCTGGCGGAGGGATAAACCGGAGGCGATGGTAGAGACAGATCTGGCGGAGGGATAAACTGGAGGCGATGGAGGATGACGGAGGCGATAGAAGACGATGGAGGCATGGACGATTGCGACGACGACGGAGAGAGGGAGATCGGCGTAAGGGGAGTGTTTTAGAAAGAGAGAGAGAGAGAGCCGGTGAGGGGGCGACGGAGGAACGATCGATTGACGTCCGCAGTGACGGAGGAACAACCAGAGAGACGGAAGATCGACGTTGGTAGCCGTGTGACCAGAGAGAGAAGAAAAAGAGCGCTGTAGTCTATATGAACCCTAGAATGAGTCCAACAACAGAGAAAACATATATATATATATATATATTTAAGGAGGGGTACCACGGTAATTTCAGATCGGGGTGACCAGATACGGGTATAGGGTCGGGGCCGGGCCAGGTTCGGGGCTGGGGAAGGTATCACCGTCCCTGGCCTGAAAATGATCGGGGATTCATTTTTAAATACCATCCCCTACCCGTCGGGGGTATTTTTCAGGAAAAAATCGTTCCAATCGGGGTCGGGGGGTCGGGTCCCCGTCGGGCCGGTTTCAAATTGCCATCCCTACTTGTGGACAGTAGCATGAATAACTTGTGGACTAACTGTAGATGCTCTAACGTTCACTTGGCTGGTATCCCAAACAATTCGTATGCCCCCCACTCTA